TCCTTTTACATTTTTTTCTTTTCATGATGACAGGCACGAGCAGAGTTGAAATCCTCTCTGAAACAGCTGGAAAATGTACGTGTGGGTCGCAGGGAGGGGGAGGAATTCAAACTTCATCCTCAAGTGTAGATCCCTCCCCAAGTGTAGTTTAATTGCAGGCATAGCCACATTGCCTTTTCAAACACACACACACACACACACACACACACACAGCTGGATAAAACTATATAAGCCCAGCTTCACTGATTACAAGTTTGAAAAGGCAACGTGGCTCCGCCTGCAATCAAAGGCTCGGATCGGCTCCCCTCCGGCTTCTCTGCCTCCTCTCTCACCCCAGCCTGCAAGCGTGTGTGTCTGTTTGAGAGAGGGAGGAGAGAGGGAGGGAGGAGGGGGAGGGAGAAGAAAAAGAATGAAGGAAACTTTTTCGCAAAGGAAAAAAAACAAATGCTGTTGCTTTAAATCAGAACTGAGCATGCCTGGCTGTGGAATTCTGGGAGTTGAAGACTACAAGTCTAAAAAAAATTGAAACCCACCACTGTGTCAGTGCCTCACTAGCCATAAACCTCACTGCACGTCAGTGGCTGGAATTTAAGGTGACACCCCCCCCCCCAAGGAACCTGTCTAGTCTTTTAAAACTGCCTAGTCTTCTTTTAAAACTGTCTAAAAGGATAACACTAATCACATCTCATGACTGAGCTATAGAATATCTCAATCCTTCTAACATGGTGTCTTCCAGATGGCATGGGAGGAATCACCATTTAGTCAGGCTACGGTAAATCTGGGAAGACAATCCCAAAATACCTGGGGAAGATAACAGTTGGGGACCAGCTGCAAGGTTGAGGGTGGGTGGCACTATTTTGTACTAGTCCTCCTTTCATGGTGTTGATCAGGAATGGGTGGTCTCTCTTGCTCCCTACAATGTGAGGGCCACAGAACTCAGTATTTTCTCCATTCTGCTGGGTGAGGCAAAGCTGGCTGGGGAATTCTGGGAATTGAAGTCCATAGATCAAAGTTGCCAAGGTTGGACATCCCTGCTTTAGAACATCATTTCCCCTAAAGTCAGATTAACTCTAAACCCATTGGCCTTCTGGAAGAGTCTGAAGAAATGACTTTGATATCTATCTGGGTCTTGAGGCCACCTGGATCTGAGAATTTACATTTTTAGTTTGCTAGCATGGATGTGGAACCTGGAAAGTAGCTGTATTGCTGGAAATATTGAATATGGTTTCCCATATATCGGCTGGGTTTTTTAGTTTTCATTATTTTTCGTGTTATTATTGACTTTTATTATTTTATTCGATTGTCTTGTGTTTTAAACTGTGTACATAAGAGTCATAGTGAGATAGGCAGCTATGTAAATTTACGAAATACGTAAATAAATGTTACCATCTGGGTGTGACAAGCATTCCTGTTTTACTTTTAAGGAGAGGTGGCTTTTGATGATTTATTTAACCTAGCCAGCAACTTTCTTTCAGGAAGCCTTCAGCAACACTGCAATATCTGTCTGTTCACCACATTCAGTCTGTCTGGCCTTAAATGCCACATGAAGAAACATTCCCATGAAAAGCCACACCTGTGTCACATCTGTCTTAAAGTTTTCTGTAATGCTTTCTCTGTGGCGCAACACCCATACAGGGATGTCTGCCTTCCGGGTAAATTAAACCCCTCCTCACTGGAATATGTCTTTACAGTTTGTTCGGCTGTTTTTATGACCAACTAGCTGATAACCCGGCATTGCCCGGGTATTTATTTATCCTAATTCTGTATTAGGTTGGAGGCACCTTGTGGAGTATTGTGAAGCTGGTACAATGGTGACTCCACTGTGCTGTATAGTAGAAGCCACCTTAAGGCACAACAGGCCTTAAGGCCCTAACCCTAACCCTCACTAATGCACACTATCACTGTCAAAAGTACTGTGATTTGACACTATAGATATAATTCATTCCTTTTCCTTTCAGCGACCCAGGCGTTCCAGAGTTATGCTGGAACACACACACACACATACACTAAGGGGTGGTAGGAGTGTCTTAACCCCCACAGTATTTGTTTCCAGAGAATAAGTCATCTGTGTACCAAGTTTGATTGAAATTGCTCAAGGCGTTCCAGAGTTATGATGGAACATACACACACACAGAGAGAGAGAGCCATTTTTTAATATATAGATTTTAGGAATATCAATCTCACATAAAATAGTTCCTCTCTTAGCTTTCTGTTTGGGAATATTTTGCAAAGGCTGTTCCCCCCCCCCCCAACCAATTGATGAGTATAGAAAGCTACAACTGTCTGCCTTGATAAGCCAAGCCCAAAATTACGGTCTCCTAAAGAGCTAATTCGTCCAGACAAAGTTCTCCACCAACTTTCTTAGGGCAGGATTTGAGATATGCTAAGGATTCACTTCTTCATCTTTGTGCAGAGACTGGAGCATTGATTGCCCATTTCATAGCCAGCTCTGCCTTTAGGCAGAATGAGCAGGGTAGTTTCATTTAAAAACTATTTATACAGTTACTGTATATACCCATGTACTCTTATTCCCTTTCAGGTTAAGTAGCATAATGTGAAGTGTAGAAAATGAAAAAGAGTTAAAAGGTGATGAGGGGGGAAAAAAAACCTTAGAGGAAAAATAAAAAAGAAAAGGAAATTACTACTAAATCTATTTCATAGCAGCACCATTGAATATTCCTCACCATATTATTTTTTTTAAATATATTTGCAGGCTAGCGTTCCTTTACAGTCCCTCAACTTACATAAGTTCACTGAGTGACAGTTCAAACTTACAATGGCACTGAAAAAGTGACATGTCTATTTTTCACACTGAGGACCACTGCAGCATCCTCATGGTCACATGATCAAAATTCAGATGTCTGGCAACTATCTCATATGACGGTTGCTGTGTTTCGGGGTCATGTGACAAGCAAAGTCCATGGGGGGCAGTCAGATTCATTTAACAACCATTTTATTAATTTTAACAACTGCAGTGATTCACTTTGCAACTTTGATGAGAAAGGTCGCAAAATGAGGCAAAATTCACTTAAGAAATATCTCGCTTAGCAACAAAAAAATTGGGCTCAATTGAGGTTGTAAGTCAAGGACTACCTGGATAAGCCCTTTAAAGGCACCATCTGTAGTTACTGCAGCATGGAGATAAGAAGGATTGTTCTCTGAAGAATCATTTTGCAAAGTCCTCCCTTGACTGAGTAGACAAAGATGAGGTTTCCTTTGAAAGAGGCACTGCCATTCGTGGTACCTGCATTTTTAGTTAGAAGCATAGGGAATTTAGAAGTAAAAATAAGTAAAATTCTGCCTAGCATAGCTGGCTGGGGAATTCTGGGAGTTGCAGTCCATACATTGCCAAGGTTGAGAAACACTGGTGTAACACATGTCACCTAAATTGAAATTTTACTCTACCTGGAGCTTTGAAATGTGAATTTTAGTTCCATATTCCTGTCCATGAATCATTGCAATTCATTCAGGTTCTAAGCCAAGTGCAGAGAAGAGCAACAAAGATGATTAGGGGATGGGAGGCTAAAACATATGACGAATGGTTGCAGGAACTGGGTATGTCTAGTTTAATGAAAAGAAGGACTAGGGGAGACATGATAGCAGTGTTCCAATATCTCAGGGGCTTCCACAAAGAAGAGAGAGTCAAGCTGTTCTCCAAAGCACCTGAGGGCAGAACAAGAAGCAATGGGTGGAAACTAATCAAGGAGAGAAGCAAATCTAGAACTAAGGAAAAATTTCCTGACAGAAAAATTCATCAATGGAACAACTTGCTTCCAGAAGTTGTAAATGCTCCAACACTGGAAGTTTTAAAGAAGATATTAGATAACCATTTTTCTGAAATGCTATAGAATTTCCTGCCTAAGCAGGGGGTTGGACTAGAAGATCTCCAAGGTCCCTTCCAACTTTGTTTATTCTATTCTATTCTATCCTATTCAATTCTATTATGACACCATTTGTATATTAAAATGCATGTTTACATCCCCAAACAACCTCACCACAAGAATTCTTATCTTTTTAAACCCCAGGAGTCACTGAGAGAGATTTGGGTGGGCCATGTAAATTTTCTTAAATAAATAAATGCTGTATACATTTACCCTTAAGTACAATAAACAATGAAGGATTTATCACGCATCTTTAGTCCTTGCTCAATTTACTTAGCATTCCATTCTTTGTTATATATCCTTTACTTTCATCACTTCAATTGCAACCAACTTGTAAAACATTCTGTAATTCAAGGTTATTTATGACATAATGTGCTTTCTCTAAATCATCAGGCAGACCATAACCTTTTCTCCTCATATTCATATTCTCAGTTATCTGTTGAAGAGCCAAAATCCAGTTTGCGTAACCTATCTGGCATAAAGCCATAGTGTTATTTCAGATTTTATTTACATGTATTTATCAAATTTCTACACTTTTATTTATTTGCCTTTATCTATTATTTATCAAATTTCTACGCTGTTATTTTCCTTTATTATTTATTTACCAAATTTCTACATCGTTTTGTTCATTCCCTTTGAATCAAATTCTATCAGATTCCTTCCCACACATACTTAATAGTCCAATTCCTTATAGTTTTTCATTCAGTCTAGCTATTTTTCACTCTGCGTTCCTTCAGTTGCCAAGCACAAACGCCATCCTCAAACTTCAAAACAAGTCACATTCAATAATTAAATCACATCCACACATTCACACTTCTCAAGTTCATTTATTCCATTTATTAATTACATTTTTATCCTGCCTTTTATTATTTTTAAAAATAACTACAGGCAGCAAACACATCTAAATCTTCCTCCTATTTTCCCCACTATAACAAAATCAGGACTATGTTTCTCCTGCACACCTGATGCTGATTTACCTCATCTCTGCCACCTGCTATTTTAACTTTTTTTTTAAATTAAAAAAAACCCACTAATCCTATGCACAGAATTAACAGCATTTCTAAGTTGCTTTGAAGTGTTTGATGAGCCATTTTCCACCTTATTGGATTCTATGCCTAGGTAGATGTAAAACTAACAGCCCGCTATCACAACAAATTTCTCAGTATTCCGGGTAGATTTGGATTTAAAGGTTTCAACTGAATACATTTTGAAATTCTGCTGCTCTTTTGCAGGGACTAAGCCACAGAAGTGTAATGAATGTGGTATGGCCTTTGTGACAGTGGGGGAACTTTCCCACCACAAGCGATATAAACATACTCTGGAGAAGCCCTTTAAATGCTCCATCTGTAACTACTGCAGCGTGGAGGTAAGATGGATTGTTCTCTGCAGAATCATTTTGCAAAGTCCTCCCTTGAGTGAGTAGAGAAAGATGAGGTTTCCTTTGAAAGAGGCACTGCCATTCATGGTACATGCATTTTTAGTTAGAAGCATGGTAGGGAATTTGAAAGTAAAAGTAAGAAAAATTACACACACACACACACACAGACACACACATACGTGCATTAACAACGCACATTGCAATTAGTAGGGATGAGTGGATGGGACCTTTAGGCGGGCATGAAGCTGCAGTGTGGTTGAGATTCAACCTAGAACTAAGAAACTTCCTGACACTGAGAACAATTAATCAGGGAAATGGCTTTCCTCCAGAAGTTGTGGGTGCTGGATAGATCAAGGGTCAGATATGACGGGGGGGGGGGCTGTAAAATGGCCAGATCTAATCCAGCCTCTGCTTGAAGATCCTAAGGACATGGAGCCATATTGGTGGGCACACTTTTTCATTTTTTCATTTTATTTTATTAGGGTTTATAGGCCGCCCTTTTCCCTGAAGAGACTCAGGGCGGCTTACAATCACCAGGGAGGGGGTGCAAATCAAAATAAACAATATACAAACAAATAAAGTAATAAAAACACAACTTGCATACAACATTCAACACTCGGGTGGGGCAAATTAGAGACTTA